AGACAGAGTTGGCTAAAAATAAAGATTCCTGATTATAGCAAGCACATTCAGATATTCACAAAGAGAAAGAAAAAACAAAAACAAACAAACAAAAATGTTGAAAGGGTTTCCTAAAATGCAGGTGTGAAAATTACACCAGCTGGATCTGAAATAGATTTCATAGTATTCCCTAATCAACTGCTTCTGCTCATCACTTTTTAGTGGGTAAACATGATTTTCTCAGAAAGAATAAATACACGATTGCCAGAGATAAGGCTTATACTGGATCAAGCAAAAATCTAATAAAATTTAGCCCCAATCTGTACAATTAGGACAGAGCCTTAAATCTGTATGTCTAGTTATGTTAACAGCTCAACATAAACCTAAATAAACTATATTGTATTAAGTAGTATAGTTGAGAGTAAATAGGGGTCAATGGAGTAGTAATTCAATAGTGAATTAGTTATTTTATCTGCAATATGAATTTGGCTAATTTGATCAGAAAAGCCTATAATGGGAGAAGGATTGCGCCCAATCGTTGGATATTCATAAAGCCCTTGCATAATACACAAACATGATCAAATGTTGTCCAACCTCATGTTGCTAATTGAACTATTTTTATGTGCACCAAAGACAACTTCAGAAGTTCTTTCAACAAGAAACTGATTTATAAGTAATTCTAACCATTCCATAGACAGCTCCAACCTGGCTTCTGCGATCAGTTACATACACACACATTTCCAATAAGATAGAATTACTATTGTTGAGATAAGGACTTCCACCCAGAACCTATGTGCACCTTTTACATCAGTACAGTGCCGGTCAACGAATAGAACAGAAGTAGAGAACAATATTAACAAGATAGAGGGTTTGACCCTACTAAATCCTAACATGTTTTAACTTTATATTAATAACAGAATGCTATTGCTGCCTATTCTGGCACATTTGCAAGATTGCTTTTGAGTACAAGGGCCTGGCATGCATTTCTACTATCGATAGGAAAACAAGAGCAGCCCTGTTATGATTAAAAGGGTCTATTTCCCTCAGCCTTCTGTCTTCTGTGTCCATCTGCACAGCTGCTTTGAACTTGGCCAAATACCAGGTTTAGGGTCACTTCCAAGTACACATTTTAAATCAGCAGCAAACTGTACAAATTCTCTGGCATAGAAAGGAAAATATCCAAGTTTTCACTTAGATGATTGATAAATGATTTTGTATGACATTCATCATTTCAGATAGTCTGAGCTATTTGGGAAGCTGCAGCAAAACATCTTTATAGACATGTACTGCTTCATGAGGAGAATCAGATAAAGCCAATATAATCATGCACAAAGAAATGAAAAGAAATCACTGTGCACAAAAATGAATTCTGCAGATACATAGAAACCTCTGACTGAATTGCCAGAGAAAGGTCACAAAGTTTGTATTTTAAAAAAATACATTAATCTCTTTCTAAATATAGAAAACTAAACCTAACTTTTTCTATAAGAAATTTGTGAAATGAGTGGCCGTGAGTGGATGAAAAAGACCTGTAGAGTCAGGAATGAAGAGAAATTTGTAAAATTCTGAGGTAGTATTCAGTGAATATAAAGATTGGTCAGGGTTTCCACTTGCTTTTTAATATTATCACACAGCTCTATTCAATAAGAGGAGAAAGCAACCGAGTACTCAATCTCTAGAATATAAACCTTTCAGCACTGAAATTTTCAGTTCTATTATAGCTTGCAAGCATTTTTCATCAAGTCTACATTATAGTCAAAAGGATAAAAGAAGGAAATAATTTAAAAAACCAAAACTATTTCATCCTTAAAATTTCAATAGCCAAATTAGAAAATTGTGAACACTGAAACAGAAAGACAGACTTACATTGGTTGAGACATGCCATCCTTTTAGTAAAGCATGAAAGCTCTTAATGGTGTCCTTTATGCAATTGAGCCAACATAATTAACTAAAGAACAACGGCTAAGATCAAAGGCTTCAACCAGCTTACTCTCTTGCTAATAAAATCCTGATTCCATAGCATGATGTAAAGTATTTTTAATTTCATGTTTTTGAGATATTGTTACTGGTTAGTTGATAAGATAAATGCATAGGAAATAATTTTTCTTTACCTAGCCAACTCCCCTTCCCCCCAGGCAAGTAATCCCTGCTACAATCCCCAGTAATATATTTATTGTTTTTGTCAATTCCATTTTAAAATGTTTTCATTCAAATTGTTCTGCCTTTTATTCCAAAGAATAATATATAATAAAGCAATGATGTACCTGTATTTGGTGGTGGCTACAAAACTAATTTCAGACTGAAGCAAATAAAAAATTAAACATTCATCTTTTTAAACTATTTAAAGGTGTTTCATGCATTTCTTTTACAGTTAATTTAATAAACTCTTTCTGCTTAATAAATACCTCCAACACAATGAGTGAGCCTTTTTCTTTCTTGAGACGAAACGGGAAAACCTATGGCAAGCAGTTATTAAGTGTAATCTGCTCTCAACTAATTGTTATCATTTTAACAGTTTGAGTACTCTAACATTATTAAATACCAAAAACAACACTCTGGTCCTGCACCTAAGTTTGCTAGATGGGAATATTAGTATCACCACTACACAGAGAATAACATGTTCCTTTAGGAAATGGTGAACAATAAAACTGAAAACAAGGGATACAAATAAAAAGGATAAAAATCCACCACCCTACATATAAGACTTTTTTAAAAAAAAACTAAACAAATAATTATATCTTAAAGCATAAAAATACCTAAAAAGAAGAATTTTTCAGCTCTAGTTCACTGTCATATATTTCCCTCACTCTTCTGAAATATACTACCTGTCATCAAAGCTGTGTAACATGTTCATGTAATCTCCTTTCATACAGGAAGTAACACTCATCGTAATTTTAGGAAAATGGGAAAAGCTATAGATTTCATCTTCTAACACCATTTTACTGATCTTAAACCAAAGTATCATAGTGAAACCTTTTCTCCTATCAAAGACTTAATACATACCTCATCCAGGGGTGTCCTCAGTGTAGATTAGCTGATATCTTTGAAATAAAGTAATGTCCATTTACAACAAACCCAGTTGGCTACTTGTAATTGTAAATCTGAAAGTTTATTATGATACACGCAAGAAGTTTAAAAACACCTGACTGGGTTTACTTTTAGTTCTTAGGTTTAAAAAACCCCAACAATACTGAATATTCAAATGATATTCAATGCTCAAGGTTTAGTGATATCCTCGCTGAACATCTTTGCATACACAATTACAAGCTGACTTTTATTTCAGTTAAAATCTCAATAGCAGAGGGTTATCTTTTAGGGTGGGGCGGGATGTGGAGGGAGAAGTATAGAAAAAAAATCAATAAGAATGTTATCCACTGTAAATTAGAGTTAGGATTAGAGAAGAAATCCTCAATGTCAGATAAAGTCCTGTGGGAACCTAAGAGGTTGGTTTCTCTGAGAGCTTCAGAATCACAGAAGAATAGATGTATATTAACCATAAGACCACAAGTCCTTAGCACCTACAGGGCTCCTTATTGTCAGGAACTGGATTTGTCCTTTCTATTCAATACACATCTATTAAGGGAAGTAATGAAACTGAGACGAAAATTTTCCATCCAGTAAATGTTGTTCTATAACAAACTGTCCTTACCAATCTTAGGTTAGACTGCTCAGATAGTGTGAAAAACAGAAAAATAAGACAGCCATGAGGAAATTACTGAGCATCATTCAAGACAGACAAAAGATCATAATTAATATACATGTGTAAAGAAAATAAACTACAATACTCAAAAGACTTTTGGTAGCCTTTTAACAAGCATGTAGCTTTCAGTAACATACTCATTTCACCAACATGCTATTCATGTATGTACACACAGTAAAACAAGCATTACATACATACAGAACACACAGATTCACAGTGTTACCATTTAAACCTCAAATTCATGAAAATACACTAAAAATAATTAAAGGTCATTGTTTTGGTGCACAGGGAGGACTGTCTCTAATAATTATTTAATTAAATGGCAATTTATTGGGACAATATTAAACTGCATTTTAATATTCCTGTTTTGTTCAAGGCACATAATTTGTTCTGCTAACAAGGGGCATTACTACTGTCATTTACAAGCTACTGCAAAGAAAGTTTATTGGTTTAACAGGTATTGTTTTAAGAGGGTTCTAATGCATTCCTCTACATTTGATGAGGAGAAAAATTTTTCAACAGGATATGTGTGTGTGTGTATCCCTTTGTAATATGATTGTAAGCTCCTTGGGACACGGACTGCATCTTCCCCTCTATTCTGTACAGCACCAAGAATGTCCTTAACAAATAATCCATAGTATATTATTATACAGATGATTACATGTATTACTTAAGTGTGTTCGTAGGGGGTACACAGAGAGAGAGGGTCAGTAAGCTATTTGTGATAGATACACACCTATACAGAGGGGTTTGTAATAGAGGGACAGAGAGGGTCAGCAAGCTATTTGTAATAGACACACACAGAGAAAGGGTCAGTAAGCTATTTGTCAAGTATCAGAGGGGTAGCCGTGTTAGTCTGGATCTGTAAAAAGCGACAAAGAGTCCTGTGGCTAAGGTGCCACAGGACTCTTTGTCGCTTTAAGCTATTTGTGATACACACATACATATAGAGGGTCAGCAAGCTATTTGTGATAGACACACACACAAACACACAGACACACACCAGGAGGGTCAGTAAGGTATTTGTGATAGATGCACACACACACACACAGACAGCCACACACAGAGGGTCAGCAAGCAATTTGTAATAGACAGACAGATACCTGAGCCCTAAAATACTAGAGGAACTGACCAGCGACACTGGGAGGAAAACAGCCCCTTGACCAGCACAGCAAAGAAGTTGATCTCGCATTGACACTAGGGTAGTAGCCGGTATCTCTCACCCCCCTAGTGAGATGCGCTTCCAGGGCTGCCCTCCCAGACACACACTCGGGAGGGGACGGCTAGTTCAGTGCTGAGCTCCCCTTCCGCTCTTCCTTACCCTTCACATCGCCCCAGCTCGGCTCCTGCTCCGGGGCGCTGCTCCTTCTCGCCTGCCTCGTGCTCTTGCCAAGTGGCGCGGCGGCTCCTCCGCGGGACTGAGACGCGTTCCCACGCTTACTACAGCCACCCCCCAGCGGGGAGCACGCGGGCCGCCCCGCCCCGCCCGGGCCAGGGGCGCCGGGGAGAGGAGAGGAGAGGAGGCGGTGCTGGGAGCTGGGGAAGGACGGCAGGCAGGCTCAGGCAGCTTGCCGGGCGCTGCTCTCCATGCGCTGCTCCTGCCCCTGGCTGGGAGGAAGCCGCCCCCACTCCTCCTCTGCTGCTGCTGCAGCTGCTGCGCGCCCGGCCCCGGCTGAGTGTGTGTGTCCGCGCCTCTCCTCCCAGCCTGGCTCCTCGCACCCCCCTCTTTCTCTCGGGTCCCATTTATGAAGCTCCGTCCCCATCACGTGTTAATGTGCCTTTGTCCTGGCCCTGGCAGCGGCAGAGACACGGCAACAGTAACTAGCGGGGAAGGGGGCAAAGCGCAGCAGCAAACTTCATTCACACGCCTGGGGAGGGACGGAGGGATGCTCGCCGCCCTGGGGAAGCGGAGCTGGAGGGGGGAGGCTGCTCCGTGCATTGGGGTGCTGGAGGGAAGAGGGTGACCGGGGAGTGCACTGTGCAGTGAGGTGCTGGAGGAAAGATGAGGCTGTTCTGTGCATAAGGGTGCAGGGAGAGGAGGGGGAACGGGGGCTGCTCTGTGCATTGGGGTGCTGGGGAAGGGGGGACTGTTATGTGCATCGGGGTGTTGGAGGAGAAGGTGGGGCTGTTCTGTGCATGGAGGTTCTGGGGGAGGAGAGGGAACGGGGTCTGTTCTGTGCATTGGGGTGCTGGGTGGAGAGGAGCTGTTCTGTGCATTGGGGTGCTGGGGAGGCGGGGCTGCTCTGTGCACTGAGATGCTGGGAGGGCAAGGGGGAAGTTGCGCTGCTCTGGGTATGGAAGCGTTAGATGGGGAAGATGATTAAGATCTCCGTTTCCAAGGACAACCTTGTCCCCACTTCCCCTCTCCTGAAGGAACCGTGTCCTGAGCAAGACTCCCTCCGTGCCTTCTGCTCCTTTCCAGCAACCTAGCAACATCTCCCCTCGCTTAGCCAGCCCCTGCCTTTGCACACAGCCTTCCCCTTCAGCCCGTTATGGGCTTTAAATTATTAATTATTATTATCATCATCGTCTTTCTGTTGTCTTCTGCGGAGTGACAGCAGCTGGGGAGGGACAGAAGGGCATGGTCGGGACCCACTGCCAGCTGGGGGTGGTGATAACGCCTTTCCCAACCCCCAGGGGGCAGCAGATCCCTCCTTCCCCACAGAGGAAGGGGGGGGGGGGGAAGTGTTGCCCTGCAATGTTGCTGCTGCCTTTTCTGCCCCCGATCCTGCGGGGCACTGCCCGGCACCCAGTGTAATTCACACACGCACAAGCTCACCGGCGGGCCACATCTCCGCAAGCTGTTCTCGCTTGGTCCGGGACGGCGTCCGGCAAAGCCAGGTCACACAGCCCTCCTCCGCCTCCTGTTAGGTGACTGCAAACCCCACCGAGGAAGCATCCCGCCGGGCGCAGGCTGCTGTACCAGCGGGGGGAATTTAGGGGACATGCTAATTAGCTGCTTACAATAACGGCAGCCCTCTGCTTGCTTCCCATATGCACAGATCAAACCTTGATTGGGCTTTACATTTATCATGGTTATGGCTTAAAACGCATTCACACACAAGGCTGATGAGCAAGAGCTGAATGATTTTTTTTTAACTGTGGCTCTTGAGCTGCACTTGTTCAACAACCATGGCCACAAAGCTATCTGCACATCAAGGCTGCAACCTCTCCCTGTCCATTGTGAAGGCACTTGTCACTGTAGTATCTAGGCTCCCAAACTCTGGCCTATTACATGTGACACCCTCCCCCCATCATTTCTGTAGGTCAGGGATTGTACCTTCTACGTTTGCGCAGAAACCAGCACAATAAATAATAAATTACAGTAATAAAATAATAATAATGTCAGATATAATTAAGGGAATCCCTGATCTCTGAAATGTCAGCCAGGACTCAAAGACAGGAGACAAGCCCGAAAAGTTGGAATTTATTTTAAATACAATTAACTGAAAAACAAATCTATATCCCACCCCCAGTCCCTATCTCTATAGTAGTAGAAAGACGTGATTGTCCCCACCTGTATTAATACAAATAATATAATTTACATAGTATTTTAAAATATCAACCGGTCAATCCAAAGAACACACCTGTGAAGAAGGTATTATTCTCCCCATTTTTCAGATAGAGAAACCGAGGTAGAGAGGATAACACATGAATCTTCAAAAGTGACTAGCGATTTGCAGGAATCTAAGTTTTTGGCTGCTAAACTTGAGACATTTCAAAGTGGCCTGATTTTCAGAAAGTGCTGAGTATCTGCCTTCCGAAAACCAGCCCTTTTTAACATGCCTCAAGTTGGGCACTCTGAGGTTCTCCAAATCACTAGTCACTTTTGAAAATGTGGGTCTGTCCAAGACCACAGAGCAAGCCAGTGTCAGAATCAGAACCAGGATTAGCATTCAAGACTTTCTGGCTCCCAGTCCCATGCAAAGCTTACTAAACCATGACTTTTACTGCGTCTATTTCTTGTCCACAGGGCTATTTCTGATTATAACTAATAATTAAATTCACAAGAAAGAGGCATAGTATTTTAAAAGTAGCATCATTACTGTAAAGGAAAAAAGAGGAGGGAGGGTGAACTCATTTGTGCCCAGCAAGCGTTTCTGAGGACAGACAGTCTATTTGCTTATTCTGAAATGCTGGTGTGTGGAAAGGAATCTTGCTTAACACCACAGTAAATCAGAGCAGGTTTCTCTGTGGCTTTACATTTCAGAAAGTACTAACTTGTCTTTCTAAGGGAATTTAACATTTTTATTTGATTCCTTTTCTAAGAGATATTTGTGGTTTAGGGTTTTAATTTAAATTGGTTGGGTTATACTTACTTTCCAAAAGCACTAAGGGCCATATCTCATCTCCTAAGGTAAATCACATTCAGTGGATGTCAATAGACAAGAATCAGCCCACAGAGAGAGTTTAAGGGCATGTGTTATTTCAACTGCTTATTCCTCCTTCTTGTTCACAACATATTAAAGACCCTCAACCTGAACTGGGACTTCTTCTTTCTGTCATTTTTAAACTCTACTAACAAGAGGGGATGTTTCAGTTTAGAAATATGTTCTCATTGGCCATGTCTACACTAGGAATTATTTTCTTAAAATCTCTCAATATGGCTACCACCAGCCTAGTTCATTAGTGGTAGCAATGGCAACAACCTTATAGTAGAGCAGACATTGTAGCCAATGTTAAGCACCATGCTGCATAAACCAGTGGTTCTCAACCTTTTCCATACTGAGACCTCCCATCATCCTTTCCCAGGACCCTCTTCTCATTAGTAACATGGTGAGAACTGGGTGGTTACGACCCCGTGACACCTGGTCCCAGAAGAACACTTCTAGGTCCCAATTGGAGAACCCACAGTGTAGACCTTTTCTGAGTAAGGTTAGATGACAAAGTGCTTAAAATGGTGGATACCTAGAGCCTTGTCTTAACTAGCACTTTCCTCATTGCCATCACTGGTGTTAAAACCAATAGCATCAATGGTGGGACATTTTAGAGAAAAAAACCTAGTGTAGACACAGACGTGGAAGGGAGTGGCAATTACTTCGTCCCTCCAGATGTTTACGATGCACTCCTGGGGATAGCCTCTGTCTCACACACTTGCTCCTAGTCCTAATACTGGGTCTCCAACTGGAATTTTATACATTTCTTCATGAATCATGCCAGTCTGTCCCCCGCACAGCACTTCTTACCTCTGGTGGGAACAAGCGAGCTGAGACTAAATTTTTTCTACATCATAAAACTCCACCAATAGTTTCTCTCACAGTCATAATTTTTTCACTGAAATTTGGTATCTGTGGCTCCAGTTGAAAACTAAATTCCGACCATTTCTTTATGAATTTTGCTATCCCAAAGGTCAAGTGTTTATTTATCTATTTAGATGGATTAGATGCATCTACCTAGTACTCTAGATGCCTTATTTAATAAAAACATATACAAGAATTAGGTTAGGTAAATCAGTAGTCACAAAGGGAATCTCCATCACAAATAAAATTCTGTCCCTGCATACTCTGAAGGTCAGCAGATATGAGATCCATAAGACTAAGAGGGGGAAGGAGTTCCAAAAATTAGACCCCCTACTCTCAAAATTCCTTGGGCTATCCCTCTCCTCCTAAACCAGACAGCTGTTAGCTTGAGCACCTTGGGTGTTCAACTGCCATAGCAAAACACAGGAAGAGAGGCACTTTTAAGGTAATTAGAATCTTTGGATAGTCTATATTTTCTCTGCAATTGATCAAACAGACAAGGATGGTCTTGTGGTCTATACATAAGACTGGGACTGACGCTATCTGAATTCAGTTCTGGGCTTTGTCCCCGACTTTGTGTCTGACCTTGGGGAAGAAGTTATAGACTTATTTTCAGAGGTGTTGAGAACCCAGAATTCTCGCTGACTTCAAAGGGAGCTCCAGATACTAAGCACCGCTAACGATCAGGCCATTAACCAATCTGTGCCTCAGTTCCCCATCTGTAAAATGAGGATAATAATGCTTCCTTGACATCCTTTGTTTGTGTTGTCTACTTAAATTGTAAGCTCCTCAGCAATGGAACTGTCTCTTACTAATAGTTTGTATAGCACATAGCACAATGGGACAATCTTGCATAGGGCCTCGAGGCACTAAAACATAATAACAATAAAAACCCAATCAAAATTGTTATTGTCCAGAAGTAGCTTTACTGCCATCAAGTGAATAACCCCCCCCCCCCCCGAAAGGACAGAATACCTGCATGTGGATTGGTTATCCAGAAACTCCCCTGATTATCTATCTGCACATTTATCCAAATGTTTTTGAAATATTTATGGTAAAATTTTGTAGTGGCCACAAAAAAAATGGTAAATAAAGGATCATTAAATTGTACATGTAATGCT